AAAAAAAAATTTTTATGTTGAAAAAATAATAAAATTTTATATTGAAAAAAAAAAAAAAAGAACAGAACACGAACAAATTTAATGTGGTGGGAGAAACAGCAAAAGTAAGATAAAATGCACAAAAGTCATGGTTGGGATGTACAGAATAATTCTGAAAAAAAAATGCCAACTCATTCTAAGCTCCCTTTCCTCCCAGATCTATGACACCCCCCCCCAAAAAAAAATCATATGCAGCTATTCTCTTCCTACTTTACCGAATGGCCTTGTCACCTTTTGTCTACTCTCTTCTCTTGTGTCTACCCATCTATTTATGCCCCCCCCAAATAATAACTTGTCTCTGAAACTGCATTTGTTCAGAATGTTACACAATTTTTTTCACCAAACTCATCCTTCCTATTTCCATTAGCACCTTTCTGTGGTGAACAACTTGTAACTGTCACAAATGTATTCCTGCTTTTATATTAATCCAAAACAAAAATAATATCAAGCATATTTTTCATGGTTTTAACCATTTCATTATAATGAAACTCAGGTCTGTATTCAGTACTTTAATTATGCAAGATCAGACCACTTTCATTGATATCTGTTACAGCTTTCCCCTTTCTCTTCCTTTCACTTTTTGAATTAGATATATGAAATTCTTCACATTTACTGAGAAATCACTCTGAATAATCAGCCTTGAAGATACATGTGAATTTTGTTAACATTAAGCTATTAATACTTAGTTAATGTTTGATAACATTGTCAAGATCATGGCATCCGGCCCTCTCAATTCCTGGCAAATAGATGGGGAAGAAATGGAGGTAGTGACAGATTTTATCTTCCTGGGCTCCAAGATCACCACAGATGGGGACTGCAGCCAAGAAATTAAAAGACGCTTGCTCCTGGGGAGGAAAGCTATGGCAAATCTAAACAGCATACTAAAAAGCAGAGATATCACCCTGCCAACAAAAGTACGTATAGTCAAGGCCATAGTTGCAATGTATGGTTGTGAAAGTTGGACCATAAGAAAGGCTGAGCGCAAAAGAATTGAGGCCTTTGAACTATGGTGCTGGAGAAGACTCCTGCGAGTCCCCTGGACTGCAAGACGATCAAACTGGTCAGTCCTAGAGGAGATCAACCCTGACTGCTCTTTAGAAAGCCAGATCCTGAAGTTGAAACTCAAGTACTTTGGCCACCTAATGAGAAGGAAGGATTCACTGGAGAAGAGCCTAATGCTGGGAAAGATTGAGGGCAATAGAAGAAGGGGACAACAGAGAATAAGTTGGCTGGATGGACTCACTGAAGCAGTAGGTGTGAGCTTAAATGGACTCCAGAAGATGGTAGAGGACAGGAAGGCCTGGAGGAACGTTGTCCATGGGGTCACGATGGGTCGGACATGACTTCACAACTAACAACAACAACAAATTAATAAATATAAAGGAGCACTTACATTTTTCCCTATGGAAAGGCTGGATAATAGCTATGTCAGATATGTGTAAAACTAACTGCATAAGTATTTTTCAAATTTCTAAGAAATAGTGTGCAATTAGTACTAGAAGACCCTGAAATTCTCTGACCAAAATCATTTAAGTTTCCCAACATAAACAGGAATTTAGTGTCTGTTTGTTTATTTTTTATTGAGCAGACATTAACAAACAGTGTGACTTTAATTAGAACATGGAGGTAGGGTTCTTATCACTGGATTGAGAAGATAATTTATACAAGGATTAGCCTCAATTTTATTTTTAAAAATGATGACATATTAAGGAGGGTGATAGATATTCAAATTGGGAGGGAATTGGAAAAGGAAAACAGACATTGTTTTCTAAACATTTGCTAGAAAAGCTTGCAATATGGGTGAACATTTACTAATTGGAGGCAAGGACAATTTGCGTATCAATGTATATGATCCCATAAACATTGTTAAAGATGACGACACTACAAATAAGGGGCATTTATTTATTAAACAAATCTATTGCCCATGTACAAAAAGAAGTTGTAGATGGCAAACAAAATGAAAAAAGTTCTGATTTCTCCACTTTGAAAACTATAATTAGTTTACTTTTAAGATAATTCACATTGAAGTAAGGTACAGTAATGTACAGATTTCTTTTTCATTCATTATCTTAACACATGTTTAATTTGGAAAAAAGATACTTGTTGCTTCTGTTGTTTTTGTGAGTGCTTAAAATGATTTTTATTTTTGTTCATATTTTTGAAGTGCTGTATGTTTATTATTTTCTGGTTTTCTTAGCCAACGTGAGTTACAGAAGATGGAATAAAAATATTTAAACTATTAAATAGATTGTGCAGATCTTTGCTATGCTAAATGTCTGTCTTTTTCAGTAGACAGTAAACAGACTCCAAGTCTGAATCTACCACTGACTAATTGCTTTCCTATGGTTGAATGTTGTAAAATGCAGTGTCTGTGTATCTGTGCGTATGTTAATGTCTATAGGGACTGGAATTTGCATTATATCAATAATGTGATTGTTATTTTTCTATGGCTGTAATATTAGCATTCTCATAACAAAGCATAAAAGAATTGGCCCTTAGATGTTGAAAAGTTTAAGGTTAACTTCATATCAGAACCCCCTTTCGTGATATTGCTAGATTTTTGCCCATTGAAACCCTGAAAATAGACAAGAGCTGAAGCAAGAAAATTTTCTTTTTCAGATATCAATGAATGTTCTCTTAGCAATAACCTATGTAGAAATGGGAAATGTGTGAATGTGATTGGAATGTATCAGTGTTCCTGTAATCCTGGGTACCAGGCAACTCCAGATAAGCAAGGCTGCATCGGTGAGTACTAGAAATTTTAACACCTGTCAGTTTTATAATACTTTTTTTAATGTGTTCTTTTCAGAATTTCAACTTCATAAAAAATAAGATGTAGCTTCCAGATGTATAAGGGTGTCTCACCCTGAGTACACCTCAGTACAAAAATTGCACTGTTACTTTTGTTATTTTAGCTATATTTTACATTCTAATTTTAGTTTTGTTTGATAAGTTATATCACAAAATATTGACAGAATTGACTCCTAAAAGTGCTTACTTTCTTCTGTTGAAAGAGATAGGGAAGAAATGTGAAAATTGGGGAATAAAAATGCAGCTATTAGAAACAAAAAAAGTGATGCTTTATAAGATACCTATCTCATCTGTCCCAAATATACTCTCCTAGATATTGATGAGTGCATGATTATGAACGGAGGCTGTGACACTCACTGCAGTAATTCAGAAGGCAGCTATGAATGTAGTTGCAGTGATGGATATGCTCTAATGCCAGATATGAGGAGTTGTGCAGGTAAGATAATGAAGTTTACCTTTATTTCTTATACTGCATCCACCAAACAATGAGAAAATGTCAATAGAGTTCTATAGTAAAGAGGCTTAGAGAACGAATCGTGAACGATCAAAGTTAGAGCCAGGGTGTTGCAGTTGTAAAGATACTGGACTAGGAATGGGTAGATGCAGGTTCTAACCCTCCCTAAATTGTAGAACTTCAGTGAATCACTCTCTTACAGACCAACTACCTCACAGGGCAATTGTTCCGGAGGAAAATTGGAGGAAGGAATGCTATATACATTAGCTTGAGCACCTAATTGAAAAATGGAAGTATAAATCAAATAAATAATGGTCATTTATTAGATTGATATTAAGCTTATATATTTTATCATCAAGTATAACCTTGATGTGCAGCCCAATTCTTTCAGTAAATTCCTTATTTGCCTTTAGGCTGGTACACTAGGATTTTAGCTTCAACAGTAAAATTAGTTTGAATTATGATTCTAACAAATACATGGTTCCAGTAAAGTACAACAAAGGAACAGTATAAGTCTATATACACCAAATATCAGGTTAAAAAAATAAAAATACAGAAAGGAAATACAATCTTTACAAGTCCAAGACTCGTATGTATAGCATCAAATGATGCTTTAAAAAAAAACATGAATAGATCTCTTTCTATCTTTCTTTCTCTTAAAACCTGTAAATTAGGAAAGATTTTAAACTTCTGAAAAGGAAAATTTGCTTAATATCTAAGGTAATAGTTTCCTCACAAATTTCAGTCTGAGCAATAGAACTATTCATTTTCAACAAGATACTCATAAGGGAATCAGAAAAATGTACTGAAATATCAGGGAAAATCAAGTCAGGAATGAAACTAGGCCATGGGTTAAGTGCATACGCAGCCACAGCTTCAGCTGCTTTTATCAAAATGACATGCACATAACATAAATATATATATAGAAAGGTAGGATTTTGGCATGGATCTTCTGGATTAGTGATTGCTTCATAAAAGGGACAAGGGAAGTATTTTTACAGTGTAAGAATCACTCCAGGTTAGCACAGCAAGATCTGGGCAAAGGATTTCAGATCCCTAGATATTAGAATAAAATAGAGATGATGGTAAGTAAGAATTTTATAGTAGTCCAAGGGAATAAGTAAATCCTATGGCAAAGTCACTATGCAGAAATGTAGGCGAGGCAGCAAGTTGAGGAAATCAAATATGCCTGGAAACAAGGGAATTTGGGGTACTTTAATACAGGTAAAGACTACAAAATGTTGACATTCTACCGTTACGCTGAAAAAAAATGTGTGCCCCGATGAGTATTTCATAGCTGATATAATGATGCATCTGAACTTTTTTTTTTCAATTTTATTACTGTGAAAAAGACTATCAAATTTATTAGGCAAATGAAAGATCAAATGTGATGATACTGAGTTTTTTTTTCAGATATTGATGAATGTGACAGTAACCCAGATATCTGTGATGGTGGACAGTGCATTAACATTCCAGGAGAATATCGTTGTCTTTGTTATGATGGATTCATGGCTTCTGTTGACATGAAAATATGCATTGGTATGTAAAATAGTTACAGATTTCAGAGGTTCCCTTTTATAAGTTAATGTTATAAAATAGTAACGTACAAATAGGGGAAATGAATTAGATTTTTTTTCTGTAATTAAATGTAGTTTTAGTTAAGATAGAGATTTGTTTTCAGTTTGTGAAAATGCTGGGAATATAATATATCAACTTTGTACCTCTGATATTCATTATTTGATTAATACCTACCTTTCTACCGTATATACAATTCAACTAAGTAACGACCAGACTCAAAAGAACTTACCAAGGAGTAGTTTAACTTATTTCTATAGTTCACCTTATCGTATCTTCGATCACGAGTCGGATCATATAAATTGGAAAAATAAATGTTAAACCTACTTTTTCATCTCCCTATAAGTACTTTAAACAAGTTCATACAACACTTAGTGAGATGGCTAATACCTAGGAGGCATATATTTAAAAAATCTGCTGAAAAGATGCTTCAAGGGGTGCTTTGCTTCATGAAATAAAAGCTCCCATTTTATTCCATACCAGTCATGATAATAATATTATTGAAAAGTGTTTGGGAGTTGAAACTGAATTTGGGTCTCTTGTAAATTGTAGTGTAAAAGAGAAATGCAATCTTAGATTGCAATAGTTTCCCGTTCTCATGAAGGAATAGTTACAATGCTGTATTGCTCATACTCCATTTGACAGAATGCTGTTCAGATGCCAAATTTAAAAAAGATTCAAAGAAACTAGCATAAGTTTAGAGCAGTAGAATGTTGGTCATCATATTTAGCCTTGATGTATGATGTATGATAGTACTTTTCAGATAGCTAAAGGGTTATTAACAGAAAAGCTTGTCTCAATCATCATTCCAGAGAGGAAAACACAGAATAAAGGCCTCGAGGCAGTATGTGGATACATATATAGAAAATCATCCAAACAATAAGGTCAATGACCAATAAGAATGGAAGTTGATCAGGTTCCTTTCTCCAGGTGTATTCAAGCAGAGACTGGACAGTCATCTGTTGGGGATATTTTAATTTGAATCCCGGTAGTAAGCAGGAGAATGGACTCACTGGTTTAAATGTCTTCTTCCTATTCTATAATTCTGCATGAGATTCTATGCTTAAGTAATTTATTAATATATAACCATTCTTCATTAAATGCTTTTGCTAATCAAGCTCTATTAAATGTTAGTCAAAATATAGAAGACATTTTACTTTTTTATACAGATGTGAATGAATGTGATCTAAATTCGAACATTTGCATGTTTGGAGAATGTGAGAACACCAAAGGATCCTTCATTTGCCATTGCCAGCTGGGTTATTCTGTCAAGAAGGGAACCACAGGATGCACAGGTATGATACTATAATACTATTTAAAAAAAACAAACAAACTTAGATCATTTGTCTCTGTAAGAGGTTGTGAACATTTTTCATTGTTATGATTTGGGCTTCCTTCTCAGGCTACTAAAAAAAAGGGGATTCAGCAGATAAATGGTGGCTATCAGGTGAAAGAGGATATGCTGATGAGCCATAGTGTAAGCATAACTGATGCCAGATGGGGGAGGGTGCACAAGTGGCTTGTGCAGTGCCATGTGACTGGGCTGGGGTGGTGAGTAATGCTGGGGGGATGCAAGCGACTTGCTGGAGTGACTTACGTCCTTCCCTGCCAGCTTCCCCATTCACTTTTCTTGTAGGAAGCTAGCAGGGAAAAATCACAAATTCAGTCATATCACAGTGAGATGCTGCAACTTTTATAAGTGTGAGCCAACTGCCAAGCATCCAGATTGTAACTTTGAAGAGTCACTAATGACTGGTCATTAACTGATGACTTATGTAGCTGAATTTGAAATCCCACCAATTGAAATTTCTGCACTTTGTTTTCTTTAAAAGCAAATGTATGCTCATCAGAAAACTCTTGTAAGGAATGTATGATTTTCACATGCTTGCTTATCACCTATCCTTGCTGTAATTTCCATAGATACGATGACAGCAGTAGAAGTCAGATGAATGTAAAATGCATTCTATGAAATTTGCACATTGGTTTCTTTCCATACCTTTAATTAATCCTTTCTTGCATGTAATTCAAGACACATGATTTTTAGTTAGTTTATCTTGGAGTTTTTTTGTATTTAATTTATTGATATTTTTATTGGAATTAAATTATACCTCTTCTGTCAAAGAAAATGTAACACTGAGAGATGTGGCAGGTTTTCTTTTCATTATTATATTGGTTCCTTTATACATTTTGCTACTTTTCTATGATAAATTGCTTACAATTGCCTATGTCACTGTATTTTTTTCTTAGGTTTATGAAACTAATATCCATTATATTTAAATATATATTAAATCCATATGTTATGATTTATAGGAATTGTTTAGAGTTATTTTATCAGTTGCAGGCGTTATAAAAATAAATAATCATGGTACTTATAGTGTTACGTTAAAGGCATTATCATTATTACCAACCTAGCTAACACTTAACAAGTTAGTTAAAAGTTTTAATATTTTAATGTTTAGCATTTGTGTGTTTAGATGTGGATGAATGTGAAATTGGTGCCCACAACTGTGACATGCATGGTCTGTGTCTCAATGTTCCGGGAAGCTTCAGATGTAGCTGTAAGGAAGGATGGATTGGAAATGGAATTAAGTGTATAGGTGAGTAAAGATAAATTGATATGGTTGTTTGCCTCATAAAAAGGCAAATGTAAGTATTTTAAAATTAATTCTATAGGTTGATGAATAAGATAACTAGCTAACTGATGCCACAGTAACAGAATCAATTGTATATATACTATTGGGAAATGGATCTAAAAGAATTTCAACAAATTTCAGATAGAATCTCTCTTCTCCATATAGGCTAAATCAAATGCTTCCATTTTACATATTGATTATTGTCAAAGCAAACTTTATAAACTATCATTTAGAACTTTAAATTTATCAGGATTTCCTATTCCAAAAGATAATTTCAGACAATTGCTGCAAAAAGAATTATCTTCATTGTCAGCTGTAAATTCATTCCCAATTCCCAAAATATCTTAGGCCAGGGGTAGGGAACCTTGGCTCTTTTATGACTTGTGGACTTCAATACCCAGAATTACTGAACCAGCCATGCTGACTCAGGAATTCTGGGAGTTGAAGTCCACAAGTCATAAAAGAGCCAAGGTTCCCTACCCGTCTTAGGCTGTGTATTTTATACAAAAATTAAATTGTAGCTCTGAGAATTTCAGTAAACCAACCCCATTATCTCCCCACTCCCAAGTTAGAAATCAATTACATCCATCACTTTTCACAGAATTTTCTCTCCAATTTCAGATGTTCTTTTGGTTCTAAATTTTCATGTCCTCACCAATATTTTAAAGTACACCTGTACATTTCACTGTATTTACCTATACAAATATAACCATTATCCACAAGGTAGTCAGTGAAACTTGCATGATCTCTAGTGTTTCCTGAGAGGGTACCATCTTGTGGGATCATAACTATTCCCATAATTTATGAAAAGTTTTAATGACCTTTTTAGAAGACCTGATATAGCATTTAATCAATTCATCAATTTTCTGATGTTTCAATAATAAATATCAATCATGATACTATGATTTTGGGTTTTACTGATTAGATTGATTTGTTGATATAGAAATGGCTAGTTCATACCACTATAGAAATGTAAAAAGTTGAGATTCGATGTTAATGCCTTATTCTGCTGTAACAGAGAGAGTCAACACTTTTTCTTTTCTTTGCCCCCCTTTTCCATACTTCTCTTTTTCCCCTTCCCCTACTATTATTCCTTACTATTTGCTTTTGTATTTTCATATTTTATAAGTGAATAAAAATCTTTATAAAAAAGATAATAAATATCAAGCTAAACCTTTTGCTTTTTCACAGGAATTATATCATAATGATTGAAACCAGTACTAATAGCCTTTAAGCCAACTTCTGCTAGCAGTCTGCTTTTGTGAATTCTGTAAAGCCAAACAATGGTTACTATTAACATGTTTGTGATTTTTCTCTTTCTTACTAATTGCTTTAATAGATCTTGATGAGTGTTCTAATGGCACACACCAATGTAGCATAAACGCTCAGTGTGTGAATTCTCCCGGATCATATCATTGCACCTGTGCAGAAGGATTTACTGGAGATGGATTTATTTGTACAGGTGAGAGAAAGTTGAAACATACTTTATGAAAGAATTATATGTAATTTAGATGTGGAATTCAGAACTTCATATGACAATGGATCGATTCAGCATTTACTTTTATGTGAAACAGAATATGGAGTTTCATCAAAGCCCTAAATTTTTCCCATATATCATTTCCAAATACAGGTTACTTTGAAAATGGTGTATATATTCCCTGGAGAATAAAATTGATTTTTTTTCCCTCTAATAAATTTAAGAAAAAGTGAATGAAATGAATTTCTAATCTATAAATGCTTAACGCTGTAACATTTTCATTTCAATAGATATTGATGAATGTGCAGAAAACATTAATCTGTGTGACAATGGACAATGCCTTAATATTCCTGGTGGATACCGTTGTGAGTGTGAGATGGGCTTCACTTCAACTTCCAATAGCCGAGCTTGCCAAGGTAATCCTAACCTCATTTTGAGTATCTGGAATGCAAATGAGCGATGGCTCAGCAGTTAAGACCCTGGACTTGTTGCTTGGAAAGCCATCAGCCCAGATTTGAGACCCGAGCGTCATGCGATTGAGATGAGCTCTTGCCCTCGCCCTAGCCCAGGGGTAGGCAACCTTGGCTCTTTTATGACTCGTGGACTTCAACTCCCAGAATTCCTGAGCCAGCCATGCTGGCTCAGGAATTCTGGGAGTTGAAGTCCACGAGTCATGAAAGAGCGTTCCAACGGATGGGGACGGGATCGGGGACGGTGCGATCGTTAAACTTTCGTACGTTTATGTTCATCTATTTATTCATTCCTGTAAGGTACTGTAGTACAACCGGCGTACTCGCGTCTTTCCAGAAGTCTGTCGTGACCGAGTTACCGAGAACTTTGCCTCTACTCGTGACGGGGGATATCAGTCGTTGTTAATCACCTATAAAATCCACAGGGATTCCTCCCCCCCCTTTTTTTTTTAGAATTTGGATCAGATATGAGGAAATAAATTCTAAGTACTAGCAGAATGTTTGTGTAATGCAGAATATACACCGTATGATTTATATATAAAGCTAGCTATTTTTCTCAAGCAAAATGACTTTGCTTTAGACATTCCAGTGAAGGTTTGCGCTAGAAGTTTTCATGGTTTTGCACATAAAATGTTGCATCAAACAGTGGGTTGACCATTTTTGTCAATTAACTAATAGCATGTAGAAAAAAATGTTCTGGTTACAACATCATATGTATGTGGAAATATATTACATTAATAAGGGATCTTAGAGAAGTAAGCATAAGAATTTTGTATTTGTGGTAATATATTTTTCAGTAGATTTCAAAATAATATGAATGATTTAATTTAGTGACATGGCTGTGATCTCTCTTGGTGCAGATGTATCATATCCATCATGCTGTGATATTACAAACTTACTATTGAAGCCCCAGTTTTATTGTTTTTATGGCAGTCTTTATTTTAGCAGTTCTTATGATTTTATCGGTTGTTTTGGCACAAATTATTATAAATAATTATTTAAATTATTTCATTTTCTTTGGTTTTAGATGTTTTGAATGGAAAATAATATGCAATATGAATACAATGTGATATGCAAATATTTTCAAATAATCTCCTTTAAATGTTCCCATCATATGCAAATACATTTTTTTCTGCTGGATCCAATCTGGGTCGGTTACCGGGAGCAGAAGTTTTGCCTTCCGAGCTTTCGGACTAGGGCTGGAGCCCATCCTCAGGGAACGTCTCTCTGGCAGAGTGTGAGGGTCCCTAGCGAGGGGCTCCAACATGAGTCCAAAAGTTTGGAAGACAAAATGGTCCCAGTAACAAACCCAGATTGGATCCTGCAACATTATCCTGAGGCACATATATTCGCCTTCATTCGTGACATTCTCTTCTTATTGTATAACAAAATTAATGTATCCAACTCCCTCTCATTAAACCGCAGGGAACCATATACATATAAAGTTTAGATCTTTCAAATATAGATATACATTTGATGAACTATTAGGAAATAAGTAATTTGGTGTATGTATTTCGTTCAGACATAGTAACTAATCATTTCCGGTATTGTCCTTTGTTTCAGATATTGATGAATGTGCCTTCCAGAATATATGTGTGTTTGGTACTTGCAATAACTTACCTGGCATGTTTCACTGTATTTGTGATGATGGCTATGAACTGGACAGAACTGGAGGAAATTGTACAGGTAAAAGAATATGTCTCTGGGTGGGTAGGTGTGTGTGTATAACCAATCCTCTATGTAAAGAGGTCAAAACAGAAATATTACTGACACAAACAGAAAGTTATTACCTGCACTATTGTTCATTTATAATAATTTTTTTTTCATAAGGACTGTCAGCAAATATTTCCAAAAATGCAAAATTACATATTTTTCCGATGAACAGATTAGGTAAAAGCCATAATTATAAATAATCTTCAAAAGAAAAATAACAGGATAAAAAGGATATATACACTAAAGTATAATTATATTTAAGCTAAAATAATACTATAATAGCTATGAAATTCAATTATATTTTATATTAGATTTTGGTTAAAAGAAACAATTCTGACTTCTTTTTTCATTAAACTGATCATTGCTAGAATATGAGTGGCGCAGTGGCCTAGAGGTGGCCCTGAGTCCGGTGAGGAGAAGGGCGGGGTACAAATTAAATTATTATTATTATTATTATTATTATAAACTCACTTCTGACTCAGAATGTTGAGAATTCAATCCTAGGCAGCGACAGATGTTTCTCTATCAGGACGCAAAGAGAAAATACCTGCTGCAAACTCTGCATAGCTGTCAGGAAGGGCATCCGGCCAGTAAATGCTCAGCTCCATTCAGTCATTCTGAATCCACCCCCCAAAAAAGGGATTATAGGAATGTAAATTTTTTTTTAAAAAAAAATCATTGCTAGAATATAGCCATTAAATCAAAATACAATGAAGTGTTGATTGGTTCAGTATTTCAGAAACTGGCTGAGATTAATAGATTGTGTTAAGTAAACAGTTAAGAAGGAAGTATGTTTATTTTTTTATTATGAAAGAACTAATGCAGTGTTTCTCAACCTTGACAATTTTAAAGCATGTGGACTTCAACTCCCAGAATTCCACAGCCAGCATTGCTGGCTGTGGAATTCTGGGAGTTGAAGTCCATATGCCTTAAAATTGTCAAGGTTGAAAAACACTGAACTAATGAAATGAATATAAAGGCTTAAGTTTAATTTCAGATGCATGTTTCTTACTTTAGATATTGATGAGTGTGCTGATCCTATAAATTGTGTCAATGGCTTTTGTGTAAATACTCCTGGAAGGTATGAATGTAACTGTCCTCCAGATTTCCAGCTGAACCCAACAGGAGTTGGCTGTGTTGGTATGTAGAATTATGCATATAATTATTTTATATAAATGGAAAGGGAAGGCTACCATATGGATATCTGTTGTAGGAGACAAGCATTGGGGTATGTTATATAAGTTTGTGTTATAAACACAGCTTTATTACATGGTGTATTTTGTGATATGCCTGGTGACTTTACTTGAAAGAGAATATATTTTTAGGTTTAGTAGCTAGGTTAGGTGAAAAAACAGCTTGATAGTCATAGTCAATGCTTCATAGCCATTACAATAAACAAGCTGTACTTACCTGGCATGTTTATGTAAATCTTCTTGGATTGTTCTCTAAAAACATTTGTGGAATACCTTTCTATATTGAATACATCTCCCTGCCACCAAGTTGTTTCTTTCATGGTGCAGAACACAGGAGACATAACTAGTGTTCTACTTTCCATCTCTGTTCTGGTGTTGTTAGGACTAAAACTAGAAAAACCAACGGTAGCTTTCATTGAGCTAATTACCCACAGTATTACTTCCAATGGCTATGGGAAGTTCCTTTTGATAAATACATGAATACTGAAATATGTAGGCCATTATTTTGATTTAGGGACTTATTGGGAATGTGCTGGTTGCAAATCAAACTAGGAATTTCCCAGTCATTTTCCAACATTTTGCTGATAAACATAGGCTAATTTATGAAACCTAAACTTTGTTTCACAAGCTTATGGAAATAATGAAATGAACGTATTGCATCTTAATATGAATGGAGCACACTAGGGAGTGTAGAAGTAAAATATATTGTTATCATTGTCAATATCACATCATGAAGATAGTCAGTATCTACAGTATATAATAAATGTGAATTCATCTGTCCGTCCGTCCATCCATCCATTAGCAGTCTTATTAAGAAGTTTTAATTTAACTTAATTGAATTTTAACTGAAATGATTTCCTAAGTTTACTAATGAGGATAAAATTAGAACTGGCTACCATAATCATATTTTATTTGTTTGTTTGTTTGTTTAAATTTGTTCACTGCTCTGTACCGTGTCGTTTTTAATGACACACTAACCAACAGCCCTTTATTTTCTTTTGTTCTATCCAGATAACAGAGTTGGCAACTGTTACTTGAAATATGGACCAAGGGGTGATGGGAGTCTGTCCTGCAGTACTGAAATTGGTGTTGGAGTCAGTCGTTCTTCTTGTTGCTGTTCCTTGGGAAAAGCCTGGGGGAATCCCTGTGAGACATGCCCACCTGTAAATAGCAGTAAGGAAATGACTCTGTTAGATGGGAGGACAAATAACTAATATAGCAGATAATATGGCCATATACATAAGCCATAAGGTTTTCTATTATCCAGTGCTTATGAAGAAATAAACATTTCTCAGAGGTGATACATCAACTTGTCAAAGTTCTTTGCTATACTTCTATCACATGTCAAACTAATCCTCAGGACTTTGTTTTATTCTTGGTTGTTTTATTTAATCCCTAGGTGAATATAATACCTTGTGTCCAGGAGGCGAAGGCTTCAGACCAAACCCCATAACAATTATCTTAGAAGGTATTTTTGTTTCTTTCAGTATAACCACCATGGGTTTTGCTGATAGTACTCAGATTTAATAAATTATCTATAAAGGGAGATTTGTAAATTGAGGTTAGAGAAAAAGTACTTTCACATTTAGAATAAGGATATGAATGAACCAATGCCTATTGAAATAATGTGGAATAAACTACAATAAACATTTTAAATATAGATGGGAAAATTGATAAAAAATAATTCATGCTGATAATTCAACCTTCTCTATTTATATAGTTTTTCTACCAGTTCACAATTTCCATTTGGAATGCTGAGGTTCACAGAATTTCTTGTTGGATTTGGCAGGTCTTACTGTTAAAGGGGAATAAAGACAGTAACATTAGTTGCCCAAATTTTATTACTTTTGGTATCTCTAAGGAATTTCCATCATCACTTCAGAAAAAGAATAATTAGAAATATGAGTTGGCAACTCTGTACTTGATTATTAGTTCCTGCTGGAAGACAGAAAAAGGCTGAAAAGGAAAAGTTACTGAATATGTATTAAAATATATTGCAAAAATCATTATGTTTGGTTAAATCAAATTAATAAAGCTAGAAATTAATAGTAAGTATGATTTAATTGTATTATTTCAGTAGGGGAGTCAAATGTGTTCAGTATTTTAATATTAATATTTTTCCAACCAAAATTATGAGAGTTAAATATTCTCTTAACTTTGCATGGGTAATCATTTATTTGCAGCTTTCCCCCTAGATCTCTGTAATAACAAAGTAAACAAATTTTAATCAAAACTAAAAGCATAAGTTAATGATTTAAAAATAGTCTTTCATGTAATTTTTATCAGCCAAAAACTGTGGCTTTCTTTTTCTTTGCAGACATTGATGAATGCCAAGAATTGCCTGGTCTATGCCAAGGTGGAAACTGCATCAATACTTTTGGCAGCTTCCAATGTGAATGTCCCCATGGGTACTATCTCAGTGAAGAAACACGTATCTGTGAAGGTGAAAATTCTTATTTTTCCTTATAGTAGGAATGGAAAAACAATATTCTTAACCAATATTTTGTCCCACAACCATTTTCCTCTTGAGAATATTGTATATATATTTAATGTGGAGTCATAAATTAAAGCTTGTGGGTTCTAGCTATTCTGCAGATCCCATTACTGAATTTGTCATAAATAATAGAAATTGAATCCTGTATTCTGATATTAACCCAAATAACCCAATAGGATGCAAATTCTGTCCTTTCTCACAACATTTCTTCAAAAATAAGTTCAAGCAATGTTCAAAAATGTATTTAGGTCACTGTCTTACACAAGGAAAGAGATTTTAAACAATTTTTAAAAGGTTCAAAGGACTTAAAATTCTTAACTTATAATAATTGCAGTATAATTGACTGTAAAGCACAATTGATATACTTAAGTTTAAGCTATGAATATACAAACTCTAAATTAATTTTATTGATTCAAATTCAGCATGTTGATTTCTTTTTTTCTGTTTTGAAATAATGGAAACTTGATCTATATAGCTAGTCCTTGACTTATGATCAATCACTTAGCACTCATACAAACTTACAACAGACCTCCCCAGAGTTACTTAAGACCCAGATTCACAGTTTCAATAGCTGCCCCCCCCACCATGGTCATATGATTGCATTTAAGGCACTCAGCAATTAGTCTCATTGCAGTGTCCTATGGTCACATGACCATGATTTACAAAATTGTTGTTGGAAACTGGTGTTTATTGGTTAGCTGGTTTTCAGCAAAAGATGCCATTGCAGACAATAGAGTCACTTAACAAATGTGGCATCCACGGAACATGTCCAGTGATATGGTGACCCGCTTCAAGATTAGCACGACTTAACAACCATAATTCCAGGCTCAATTATGGTCGCAGGTTGAGGACTACCTGTATAGGGCCTGCAACAGAGGGAAAGGATAGCTGTCGTATCCTGAGTCAATGTTCTTCTAACCACATATCTGTCGGGTTCACACAGTGATTTTCAGTGAGAATGTAGTATAGGAAAAACATTGTACTATTGATACAGTTTGTGGATTATTTAGTTAATGTTGACTTTTAAAAGATGAGTAAAATCTCAAACAGAGGATTAAGAAATCCATTATTTGTAATAGAGTGTTGAAGTTTTCATTTCTTCAATCTATTCTATGTTTTAAGTCTTGCTGATCTGTTATTATTCAACATTTTTACTTACTGAAATTAATTTTGATGGTTGATTTTTTTTCCCCCTCAGATATTGATGAGTGTGTTGCACATCCTGGTGTATGTGGTCCTGGGACATGCTATAACACCTTAGGAAACTATACCTGTATTTGCCCCCCAGAATATATGCAGGTGAATGGAGGACATAACTGTATGGGTATGTTTTCACATTTATGTGTTATATTTACTTTCTTAAACTCTTAAAACATAGGGCCAGTTTATGCTGATAATTGTTTCTATGCGCATATTTTTTATTTTATTTTATTTATGTCCCGCCATTATTATTATTTTTTATAAACAACTCAAGGCAAATGTTGTATGTGCAGAGACTATAAGCAAGGTTTGCACCAAAGCAACATTTATATAGAAGCATCATATAGAAAAACTTATTTGAGGTCAGATAAACTATTATTTTGTGCTTTTGAATTGGCATGGGCTCCTAGGGACTGTCTGAACAAATCCATGAAGTTTTATTGGCAAGATTTCAGAAGTGTTTTGCCATTGCCTGTTTCCTCAGGCTGAGAGATCTAACTAGCCCAAGGTCACAGGCGAGATTAGAACCATGGTCTCCTTGTGTAGTAAAGGTATGCATGTGTGTGTGTGTGTGTGTGTATGCATATAAAAGGTTTTATATATATTATAGTGTTATTCATATTTATTATTAATTGGTGTGCAAATGAACATGCACACATGCACATTACAGGTATCCCCCAAACTACATATCTGCTTTAGATATCCTACCTATAAACTAAAACATTCTATACTTCCTTCTGTCCAAATTACTTTTGAAACAATGAGTATTGGAAGAAACACATTTAAAGTAGGATCTATAATATAAACTGCCCTTCAATATTAATGGTGCATTTGTAATTCTTTATTCCTACTTTCTTTGTTTTTGTAATTATGCCAAATTTTGGAGCTATAAGAGATCAGATTGATCCAATATAAAAAGAAAAGTTACATGAATCGTAACTTCCTTGATCTTGTTTTTCTTCTGGAAATTTCAGAACACTTAAAAATTAACCAGTACCTCTATCATGGCTAAGTTTCCTACCTATCCAGTTCTTTTCCTCATTCATTTTAATAAACCATGGGATATAAATATGGCTGGCATATTTTCTGCTTTGTTTCAAATAAAATTGAGCTTTGTTAGGTCAAAATCCCTTAGCGTGATAAGTACAGAACCAAACATTTATTGTACTCTCCAGGATATTTTTAAAACCATGTGATTTTTATATGTTTAGATATGAGAAAGAGCTTTTGTTATAGAAGCTATA